CATTCTCAATACATACAATCAATTGATCATAACATACTTGAAAAGTCATGTGTCACTCCCATTTATAATAGTCGATTAATGTCTTTGTTGTTAGGCCTCCTTATATACTTATTTCCAAATACTGCACAAATGTCTGATATATCATTGTTGGTACTTGAGTAATAACTTTATGATTTCTTTATTATTTTTATCTTCGAGTTCTCCATCTGTGACTTGATCCAATGTTTTTGAAATCCATTGTATGGATAATTAAAGTGTTTGAAAAGTGAATAATATTGTAATACTAGAATATGTGAAACATTAACATTCCATAACTATATATAGATTCACAATGGCTAGTTATCGACTAATTTTTTATAACGACTAATTTTCATAATGACTAGTTTTTACAACAAATAATTTTTACAAGTAGCTACTTTTCATTTCATAACTATTAATACATTTTTTAACAATTATAATTAATTATCTTAATGATTAATATATTTAAAATCCTCATTTTTGCTTAATATATTTATAATATTTTTGGTGATCTTCACGTTGCCTCTCAAACATGTTAGACATGTTTTTTATGAGGATTTCATACTCCAACACATATTTCTTGTGACTTTTTTAATTCAATTAATTCATCAAACTTTGTGTTTTTTTTTCTTTTATTGCACCTTCTATACTAGATAAACCAATATAAAAAGTAACACTTGTACTGACTTTTTCTTTACTCTTTCTCTTTGTATCCTTTTGTCCTGTAGGGCGAGATATTGATGATGTCATGTCATATTCTTCAACTTCAATGAGTGTCTCTGGGTTAGAAGATTATGAATATGCGTTTGAAGTAGAAATCTTGCATCTTTTTGAACGATCATTCATAAATACCGATTGTCATTTTTGTTCATCTCTTAACAATAACCAAGTATGTTATATTCAAAATTTTTCCATTTTGAATCTTCTGTGAAAATCTTATGTACGAATAATATAACATCTTTCTTAGTCCAACCACTTTTCTTTTTGATTGTCAGCTTGTTTGTAGCATCATTAAATCTTTGGACTGTAGGGTGAAATTTTTCCATTGAGATTTTAATTGACTCACTCACTTCTTTGTGAAAGCGTTATATTTGTTGTCATTGTTGTATGCTTATTTGATTTGCTCCCAATATTGGGTTAAAAACTTATCAATTCAAACAATTAGATCATTCAACGCATCCAACCATGGTTGAATTATAATCATATCCTCTGGTATTGAAAATGTTACATGAGGTTTTCTTTAATACATATTTTCACCGCTTCCACCAAGTTAGATATTATCGAGTTCAATTAGGGAATGAGGCTCTATGTTGGATGAAGGAAGAATGTTACTCATATTTGATGTCATTGGAGATGGTAAAAACATATAAAATGATGGTGGATAAATATAATTTTAAGAATTTGCACCCGTAAGATATTAATGAATTTGCAATAAATTATAATAATACAGGTCATTAAATTGATTGAGATCCATAATTCGCAAAGAAGAAAGATGGTGAAATGAATAATATGTGAAAAATTGTTTACCCTTGATGGAGGTTTTATAGTAAACAAATTATTATTGTGTTTGCCTCCAGATCCCTGTTTGCTTCCGCGTTTATTGTCACTACTATTGCATCTATTGCTATTATCGTTGCATCCGCGGTCGCTACCCAATGTGCAATATTTGTTAGAATTTTTATATATTTTAAGTTTGATTCTGAAATTAATTATTGTTGATCTATGATTATTATTGTTGTTGGTTGATAATTTTGTAATTTTTTGTTAATGGTGTTTTGGATTGAAGAAAATTTTTGATGATGAATGATTATGGTTTATTTGTTATATATAAAATATTAAAATATTATATATTATTTGAAAGACGAGTTACATATTTGAGTTTGCCCTAAAAGATGGGTTGGTGAGCTAACCTTCAATAATTATATATATATATATATATATTTAAAAAAAAATATTTTTAATTATATGAATAATTTTTAAGTTTTTATTTTTAATTAATATTTTTATTAAATAAATTAAAAAAATATTAATAACTAATTATAATTAATAATTTAAATTTAATTAATTAATTTATATAATTTAAATTATAATATTATAATATATTTAGATATTTTAATAATATAACAAAAAAAATATAATATTTTTAATTTTAACACATAAATATTATTTTAATGCATTGATGCCCAATCCTATTCTTGGTCTTCAAATTGGTGGGATAGACGGGACAACTAAGATGGTCCGACCTACTAAAATCACTAATCATCTACTTCTTTTTAGATTGATCGACAAACCGGTCCGTCAACTTAATCTGCTTTGCCATCTCTACTCGATAACAATGAGACAGAAGACAATCATACAAAAAAAGATGAATCAAGTTTAACCCAAAAACCTTAAGAAATTATGAGTGTTTTATCACATGGAAGTTTTTTTATTACTGTCCATTTATTTTATTCTTTCTTTTACGATAAGTTTTTCACTTTTTGATTTTGCATTAATATTTTTAAACATAATTTATTGTACATTTAATATTAGAAACCCTTATTAATACTGCTTTACATTATTTCTTACTTTTATATTTGAAATCACACCAAAAAATAAATAATAGGTCTTATCCAAGAAGATACGAAACGTTTTATTTTATTATAAAAAAAAGATTTGGTTTTTCTTTTATTTTATTTGATTATTTTCATTGATATATATTATTTTTTTAATAATAATCTTTCTTACAGATTGTACATTTAGAAGAAATTAAACATATCAATCAAAATTCTTTTACTATGATAGGTTTTTGTCTATTTATGTTTTATTTGAATATATTTTACATATTTGATTTAATATTTAGAATTAAAATTGTTTGCTAACGTTATTTTATATGTTATTTACTTTCAATATTTGAAATAGCACAAACACCTAAATGAAGAAATTCATCCAAAAAAACATGAGAATTTTTAATGTTATTAAAATATGGTTAACTTATTTTATTAGTTATATTTTTCATTTACATATCTTCTTTCTTTTTATAAAGTTTCTTTATTTGCTTCTTTTTTTCAAGCATTTATTTGCTTAACTTTTTTTCCATAAGATTATATATATATATATATATATATATATATATATATATATATATATATATATATATATATTCAATATATGACATTTAAAATGAATTTGTTACATTTCTTTTTGCCAGTTTAGAACTTGACGCAAGAGGTTTATTTTATTTTAAACAACAATTCCATTATATTAGAAAAAAATATATATTAATTTTTCATCCAAACAAAATATTCTCAAATCAGGTGTCTTTAATTTTAACATGTTATAAATATTAATTTCATATATAAATAAAAATATTTTGAGCAAGCAAAATCAAATCAAATCCTGATTAAAATTATTAATATTCAAAATATTATAATTAAATCATAAAACTTATACTAGAACTTCCTTACTTTTTAAATAATTAGATTGGTTATTTAATTTATTTGTAGTTTAATTGTAAAAGTGGAAAGAAATCTTATACATGATTTCTATAGTTAAATTCATATTATAAAGTTTAAGTTTTATGTAATTATCTTATAAGTTTAGTATTTTATTAAATATATTTATTTTGTATTAATGAAAAACTTTATTCACCCGTATATTTACTTATACGGATTTGTTTTTCATTCATAAACGTAATTGTTTATGAAAAAAAAACTTGTATGGATGGATTTGGTTAAAAGAAAAGGTAAATAAATAAAAATATGATAAATTTGACTTTTTTTAAAATTATTTTTTTATATTATCTCTACTAAATAAACAAAAATAATTTTATGTATTTCTTTTTATGAATAATAATTAAACTTATATCACGTCATCAATCTGTTCTCATTCTGAACTTGATGTAGAAAAATCAAATTAACAAAAAAACAGGTAATACATCCCAATCTCATTTTTATTTTCGCTTAACTTTTGCCTTTTTCAATATTTTAAATCAATCAGTTTATTATATTAGTTTTTGTCTTTAATCTTTTCCATCTTCACAATTTTTTTTTAATTTTTTATTCTCTTTAACCAATTTCATAAATATAAAATTAATTTTTCTTCTTTTTTATTTTTTATTTCTATATATTATACATCAATTTTAATAGTAATTAATATTATTTTATTTATAATTTATTTTTATTAGATTTATTTTGTTATGTTTTTAAAATTTTATTATTTCCATTTATTATATATCAAATTTTATTCTAATAATATAATTATATTTTGAAGATTAAAAAAATTGATAAATAATTTTTTTTATTTTAAATTAATTAAATAAGAAACAACTTATTAAATATTTTCTTATAAATTATATATTTTTTTATAAATTTTTTAAAATAACAACTTAAAAAATAATTAATATATATAATTAAATATTTAAATATAATACTATAATATATAATATATAATATATAATAATAATAATATAAATATTATATTTGTATAAAAAAATCAAACATTTCTTTTATATATATATATATATATATTAATATAAATATAATAAATTAAATATATACTTAATTAATAATAATAATTAAAAAATATTAAATTATAAATATTTATTTTTTACAAAAATTATAAAAAAATATTAAAATTAATTTATTACACGCATAATTATTTTTTTAAAATTAATGTAAAAAGGTCAGAAATTCGAACGGGCAAGTACGGTTAAAAAAAAGATTAGAGGGGTCAAGAGGCAAAATCCGGCCGCCCCTGCGGTTGCCATGGCTGTGCCTACCATCACATCCATTGTACTACCATTGCAGTGTCGTGCTCTTTCTATGCTTATTATGTCTTTCAACTTTCTTCCTGTCATACGCTCCAAAATTTAATACCTTGGCCAGGCCACAATCAAGTCAAACTCGAACTTTATCCAAACTAGTTTTTATTAAAAACAAAAACAAAAAACTGTGAAAAGACCTGTACTAGCTCAAATTATCAGATACATATCCACTCAATTCTTATGTAGACTTGTGTTTGTGAAGGGAAACAATGAAATCTTCAATGTATTGCTTGTGGAGATCTTTGTTGCTAAATCTCTTCCCCATCTCTTTAGCATTGTTTCTATAAGCACTTCCCTCCTCGTCCACCATTGCCAATCTCAATGCTTTCGCCACGGAGCTCCTTGTGAACGATCCATCTTGCTGGTTCCTCGGAATCTCAATTCCCACTTTCTTCTCTTCCATCACTCTTGAATATAATGCTTGGTCTAGTAAGAAGGGCAACATCACAAGAACGTGCCCGAAGTAGAGATTTTCTATCATTGAACCAGAACCACAGTGAGTCAAGCAACCTCCAACCGAGGCATGAGCCAAGATCTTGGGCTGGGGTGCCCATGTTTTCCACACAACCCCACTATCTTTGGTCCGATCCTCAAACCCATCTGGCAACAACTCAACTGACCCCTTCCTGAGAACCCAGAAGAAAGGCAAACCAGAAAGTTCAATGCCAAGAGCCAATTCATTGAGGTTTTCTTGGCTCAGTTTCACCTCACTCCCAAATGCAACGTACACCACTGATGACCCTTTCTGTGTCTCTAACCACGCCTTGATTTGAAGCCAATCAGGGTTATTGTCTTCCTCTTCAGAATCTATTACTTGCATTGGTGGAAGCAATCCTACAGGAACCACAGGCTTGTGGTAAAACTCAGCAAGATAATCCAACCACTCTTGCTCAAGATCTCTGGAGCTTCTGATGACAAACATGTCACAACCAGAATTTGCTTCATTCAGATTAAAAACAGGTGAGGCACCAGTCTCATTAACTTTGACATCTTCTAACAGCTTCCTCACCTCATAGGGTCGTAGGCCAATATTTGTAGGGAACGGAACCCACTTGGGAGGGCCATAGTAGTCTTCAGAGTTGGTTCTGTTGGCAGCAGCATCACCAATTTGTTGTTTTGGTGTGTCAAAGAAGCATATGCTCCACGCAGGGCAGGGACTGAAATAGGCACAGTGAATGTGGAGGGTTTTGGCTAGTTGTGGTATCCAGCTGGCTGCAAAATCATAGAAAACCCAATCAGGATTTGAAGTTTTGAGTACTTGAGCCATAGGTTGTTGAAGAGCATCATAGGCTGATTTGAGGTAATACAGTTTGTTGGAGGGAATGTCCATTGTGGAGTCAGCATCTTGCGGAAGATGGTTTTGGTCGATGTGGGGAGATAAGGGCAATTTGGTGAGTTTAACAAACGGTGATAAGGTTTGAGGGAGTTTTGGCAAGCGATCTATTATCTTAGGGGTGGATACGAGGGTGGCATAGTGACCCTTTTGTGCAAGGATCTTGGAAACCTCGAAGCAGGGGTATACGTGACCCATGGCTAGCCATGGGAACATCACAACATGAAGAGGCTTATTAGTTTTGGCAGTGGATGAAACTGAAACTGAAACTGGTTCACCCATTTGCACTTTTTTTCTGTACAAGGAAGAGATGGTATCCGCGTTCTGTTTTATACCGCCAAAGATGAAACCAGAGGAAGAGCTTCTTCCCCACCCAAAAAATTCATAGCGTGTAAAGCATGCTGCTATTATTTTACTCTCCTTAACTAGCAATTGTATAATAAAATATAGGATTCATTCTTCCCACAAAAAAGGCATTATCGTATAATACCGCGCATTTGATTTTCAGATCCAAATGACTTGTTCTTTTTGAGTTAATATTATGTGCACAAACAATCAAAAAGTAAAAAAAAAAAAATGAACAGAAAATGTTACCATTTCATGAATTTTCACCTTTTAGATGTTAAAACGGGTAGTGGACCAGCCAGTATAAAAATTTGCAGAGCGGGCTTTGGTCTATTTTGGTTCCTCTGGCCTAATTCCTAACATGGCTAGTTCTGGCCTGATTCCTTACATGGCGAATTAAGAATAGGACCAAACGGACTGAGTTACTTTAAAAATATATTTATATATTAAAATAAAAGTAAAAATAATTATAATTAAAAATATTATATTTTTATATTATATTATTAAAATATGTAAATATATTATAATATTATAATTTAAATTAAAAAAGTTAATTAATTAAGTTTAATTCATTGATTATACTTAATTATTTTAATATATAAATATAATAATTTTTTTAATAAAAATACTAATTAATAAATAAAAATTTAAAAATTATTTATATAATTAAAAATATATTTAAAAAATATATATATATAAAATATGAAAAAAATTATTATCATATTCACCCATTAACTTATTAATTTACCTTTTTTTAGGATAGATAAGAATCCGTAACCCATATTTACTATGACAAGTCAATAAGTCTTATCTTATTTTTTTATAAATTAAAGATAAAATAGACTAAAAATAGATAAATTGACTCATTTTATCATCTTACTTAACATTTATAGATGAATAAAATAAATAAAGAATAAAAAATAAAATAAATTCATATATATATTTAATATTTTTAAAAATATAATCAATTATCTTAAATTTGTGAAGAAAAAAATATTTAGTTTTTAAGTCAAAGCGAAAATCCTTTATAATGTCAGGTATTTTTTATATAAGAAAATATAATCCTAATTACATGTTTTCCTTATTTATAAATTAGTTAGATTATGGATGATTGTCCCTACTTATAAACTTTCTTGTTTCTATCTAAGTTATCTAAGTTGGGAATTCAAGTCACAATTCTCAAAATGTATAGAATATACCAAAAGCCCATTCACGACAAATATTCCTGCAATTAAGAATTTGATCATTGAAAAAGGGCCAACAGATTAAAGGCACCCCATTTGCTATGCTTTCAAGTGTGGAATTCCAACCACAGTGAGTAAGGAACCCTGCCACTGCTGGGTGCTTCAAAACTTGCTCTTGAGGACACCAACCCACCAATAAACCTCTATCTTTGGTTTCTTCCACAGTTTCAGGTGGCAAAATTGAGGCCTCGCCCTCGACTAAATCAGGCCTAATCACCCACAAAAACTTCTTCTTGCTATTTGATAGTCCCCTGGCCAATTCAACAAGTTGATGGTGTGTCATGACTATAACACTACCAAAATTCACATAGAGAACGGAGTTGGGTTGCTGTGAATCCAGCCATTTGAGGCACTCAGACTCTTCCTTCCACAAATTACATCTGATTGAGTCAAGTTTGCTCTCTGAAGTTTGATCAAGGAGCAACTCCAGTGGGCCTATGGTGTAAAGTTTAGGAAACATCGTGGAGAGTGCTTCCAGCACATCATGCTCCAAGGCATCAAAAGTTGGAAGAATAACAGCCGAAGCTTTTGAAGTTGCTTCAATTTGTTCTGCCACAAAGTCCAAAAGTATATCATTTGGATCTGTGGTACGATAGATTCCGGGAAGGTCCCTCAGAGTGATATCCTTCATGCCAGGGATCGAGTCTATGACAGTGTCTAGATGCCCATTAATCAAGTAGCTTGCATCTGCAAGACAAGACCACAATGAGGAAGAATATTTAGATATTTTAATACTAATTTGAGTCAAATTAGAGTGGAAAGTGTATGATCCCCACCTTTAAGTGGTGTTAGACCTCGCTGCATGAGATTCTTGCATTCTTTGAAGCTCATGAAACTACCAGCACTGTGAGTCCAAAAGAGTATGTTGGGTAACCCAAATTGCTGAGAAGCTTTGATGGTGAAGGACATGACACCATCTGAGAATATGCAAGTCACTGGAGGGGCATCATGAGAGTGATTAAGTTTTGAGATAAGGTGGCAGAAGGGTATGAAAGAGTTATTTCTGGTAGAGTCACACAAAGCTGGGATGCTTTGAGTTGAATCCGTGTTGGTGGGAGGGAGACCATCAGGAATGGCCTCAAAGTGGAAATCTGGGAAGCCATTGAGGGCATTAGGGCCTCTAGATTTGACGAGGCGTCGGTGATTGAATTCAGTGTTCACAAAGGTTATGTGAAAGCCTTTGTTGTGGAGGAGCTTTGCTAGTTTGAGAAATGGATTTATGTGACCTTGTGATGGAAATGGGATCAGAAGAGCATGTGGCTTCTTGGTTACTCCTTGTAAGCCCATCTTTCAGGTGTGCAACACAGATTTGTTGCTGCCAAATTTCATCAAACGCATATTTCTAGATCATAATGCGTAACCAAAGAGGTGAATATAAATCTTGAATTAAGGTATTACTTTTAATTTTTCATGTTATTAGGGATTTGAAAGAATATCCCGTCATTAATGATTGACATTGATGCGTTCACGCACATGCTGGGATTTCCTTGTAAAATTTTGAACCACAAGGCTTCTAAATAATGGCGCATGCGTGTACCTTTTGTGAGTAACATACATTATTTTATTTTTTTTTCTTTCATGAATGCTTCAATTTCTGAGGTTCAGAAAATTGGACCTACAAAATTATTGAAATTGGGACAAGACAGGAGGCTGGACTGAGACTGTGCATGAAAATATCACAATCTATGGACATAAACAAATGTGTATTAAAAGTATTATAATCAATTTTATATTTTATTTTAGTAATTTTTATTCTCATTTATTATGGAAAGTTATCTCTCATTCTTTGATTTTTTATAATATTATTAAAAAAATAATTAATTATCTAAATAGACATTCTCCTATCTTATTTACCTAAATAAATCTATTTATTGTGAAGGTCAGAATTCTATTTTTAGACAACCGAATTCCGAATAGAAATATGTCACGTGGGAACCAGAAATGCATGAACCGAATTCAGATAAGGTCACCTGATTTAGGTTATGAAATCGCTAAGCCATTAATTAAATTCAGTAAGCGTCACTACGGAGCCTTTCATTTGTATATCTATATTTATATATTAATATAATTAAATATTATTATATTTATATTTATTTATACATATATTTTTTAAATATTTATATTTTTGTTTATATATATATATATTATATAATTATATATTTAGATATTTATATTAATATATTAATATATGTGTATATATAATTATTAATTAAATATTTATATATGTAAATATTTATATGTTTATATATTAACATTTACTTAATAATTGTATATTTATATATTTAAATATCGATATAATTGTATTTTTTATATATTTATATATTTAAATTTTAATATTTTAATATTTTAGTATAGTTATATTTTATAAATATATATATATAATTAGATATTAATATATTTAGATATTTATATAATTATATATTAACATTTTAATATTTTAATATTTTTTATATTTTTATATTTATATAAATATATTAAAATTATTTGATTGATTATGGTTAAGTAATATTAAAAATAAAAGAAAGTTTATTTACACTTCTTTTATGTGATTAGTTAAAAAAAATGTTATGATAATAATAGAATTATAAAGAAATAATATAAAATTGAAATTTTATTTATTAAAATGAAACATAAAGAAATAATGCATAATACAAGAAATATATTAATTTTGTGAACGAGTAACATTATGACATATTCTTTTGGTGTGACCAGTTGTGTGGTAAAGTGAAGTAAGTTTGGGACGAGATTGACTTTTCATGATATTTATTTATACTTGATTTTGGACGATCTTTTGCAGTTCTCTTTGTTGTTGGAGTTGAATTCAAAATTGACCTTGTATAAGATAGCCAATAATTTTCATTCTTTAATTCTCCAAATAGTTTGTCATAGACCTTACCAACTCGTGCTAAAGTATAAATAAGATTTACGATTTATGTAGTTGATAAAATCATGATATGTGTGTTTGAAAACAGTTATTACGTGCGAACACGGTAAATGGAGTTTTTGGAATTTATTACAGTCACATAATGATTCGTTTAGTCTTACTACAGATTGGTCTATTAGTCTAATTTCTCTTGGATTGAAGGTTTCCTCTACCAGAAATCATATACTTATTCGTTTAAATTAAATCACTATGAGTGTTTTCCTTTATATGTACATCATCCTTGGTTGTCACTTCAGCATATACGTGTCTAGTAGCAATCATGACCACCACTTCTTTACCTCTTTCGGTGAAGAACTTATTACAACATATACAAGTTGTTGTCACCAAAGAGGAAATAGGAAGGTTTCTTGTCTTTTTGAGGATCCAATTGATTGACTCTGCCAAGTTGGTGGTCATGTATCCTTAACGTCGATCGTTGTCTTAAGCTAGTGTTCACTTCTCCTTTGGGATTTTATCCAACCATTTTGTTGTCTCTAGATCTTAATTTCTTACTATGTTATAATAGTAGAAGAAAATATGGGTTCAGTCATTCCATATGTTGTTTACAAAAAAATTGAAACAAATCAGTTATTAGGTACTTGAGTTAATTCAATTTGATTTGTTTCAGGAAGTCCCTTCTCTCCTGTTAGGTATCAGACTACTTGCACAAGAACTCAACTAAAATAGAGAAGAGAAAAATTGAATAGCAATAATAGACAAAAGTGAAAATTTTATAATAAGAAGAAAAAGTACATACCCCTTCTCTATTCCTAAGAATGACAACACTTTTTAATACTTAGAGAAGGAATGAGATTTTGGGATGATTAGAATGGGGGGCATGTGATTTCTTATATAACCACTCACCCATGCCCCCTTTGAAGTACCCACCGATGTGGGACTTTGCTCTCACAATCTCCCACTTGAAGATTTTGATGAAATTAATCAAATCTTCACACCATGATTATCTTTCCCATCTATGCTGCTTATGCTTTCAATAGGCCATAACATGATCGACTTTGTATGAACTTGTCAGCATTTACTGGTTTTGTCAAGGCATCTACTAGGTTATCTTTGGTATGAATCTTCTGCATATCCACACTCCCTTCCTCTACTACTTCTCTGACAAAATGATATTGTACTCCTATGTGTTTTGTTATGGAATGAAAAGTTAGATTCCTTGCAATGTGCAAGACACTCTGACTGTCACAATACACATTGATCTTCTGTTGCTTGTATCCGAGTTCTCCCAATAACCTTTGAATCCAAATTGCTTCCTTGCATGCCTGGGTAGCTGCCATGTACTCCGCCTCTGTAGTAGATAAGGCTACAACAGTCTGCAGTTTAGATAACCAACTTACCGCTCCACTTGCAAGTGTAAATACATATCCTGTAGTAGATTTTCTTTTATCAAGATCACCTGCAAAATCTGAATCAACATATCCTCTGACAATAAACTCTGATCCTTCAAAACATAATGCAACATTTGAGGTTCCTTTAATGTATCTTAGGATCCTTTTCACAGCATTCCAGTGCTCTCTACCAGGATTTGCCATAAATCGACTAACCGTCCCAACTGCTTGTGCAATATCTAGTCTCGTACAAATCATAACATACATAAGACTTCTCACCGTCGATGCATACGGCACTCGAGACATTTCCATCCTTTCTGCTTCACTGCTAGGACACATATCTGAGGATAATTTGTAATTGATAGGCAATGGGGTAGAGATTGGCTTACAATCTTGCATGTTGAAGCGCCGCAAAACTTTCTTAAGATAATTCTTTTGAGAGAGCCAAATCTTCCTATCCTTTTTGTCTCGGTGAATTTGCATCCCTAAAATCTTGTTTGCGAGTCCCAAGTCCTTCATATCAAATTCCCTAGCCAACTGTGCCTTCAATTCTTGGACTCGATCTTTGTTGGGGCCTACCACCAACATGTCATCCACATACAACAACAAAATGATGAAATCATTATCATCAAACCTCTTGTAATACGTACAATGGTCTGAACTCAGTCTGTTGTATCTGAGGCTAATAATGAAGGAATCAAATCTCTTGTACCAATACCTTGGCGTCTGCTTTAAACCGTACAAAGATTTGGTCAACCTACAAACCAAGTTTTCTTTTCCTTGTTCTTCAAAGCCTTCTGGTTGGAGCATATAAATTTCTTCTTCAAGTTCTCCATGAAGAAAAGCAGTCTTTACATCCAATTGTTCAAGATGTAAGTCAAATGCAGCACACATAGCCAACACTACTCTGATAGTGGTAAGTCTAACCACTGGAGAGAATATCTCATTGAAATCAATGTCTTCCTTTTGAGCATACCCTTTTACTACCAGTCTTGCACGATATCGTTCCACTTGATCATTACCATCACGTTTGATCTTATAAACCCATTTGTTGCCGATGGCTTTTCGACCTTGTGAAAGTGCAACAAGCTCCCATGTCTTGTTTTTGTGTAAGGCTTCTATTTCTTCTTGCATTGCTGCCATCCACAGAGAAGCATCTGAACTACTCACAGCCTCCTGAAAGGTTGACGATTCTCCCTCTTCTGTTAGAAGACAATATGCATCATGACTTGCCATTACATAGTCTGAGTGCCAAGATGGTCTCCTTATCTGACGTGTTATTCGTCGAACTTCTGTATCATTGGCCTCTTCTGGTTCTTGCTCCTCATGCTCTGGTTCTGCTTCTAAAGAATCTTCTCCAGACTTTCCATCTATTTGCACAATAGTTACATCTTTAGAAGTGCTGTCATTTACCTGTTCATTTTGCAGTTCATTTTCTGCAAAGATTACGTCTCTGCTGACAATAACCTTGCGGGTAGTGGGATCCCACAGGCGATACCCCTTAACTCCGTCAGCATAGCCCAAGAATATGCATTTTCTGGATTTTGGATCCAACTTTGTTCTTTCTTGGGAGTTGTACATTACGTACACAGGACATCCAAACACATGTAGAGAAGAGTACTCTGCTGGCTTTCCTTTCCACATCTCCATAGGTGTCTTTAAACTAATCACAGTTGATGGGGATCGATTTATTACGTAACAAGCTGTCTTCACTGCTTCTGCCCAAAAAGACTTGGCTAATCTTGCAGTTCGCAAGATAGCTCTAGTCCTCTCTAGGAGAGTTCTATTCATCCGCTCTGCTACACCATTTTGCTGAGGTGTATGAGCAACCGTGAACCGCCTCCTTATACCCTCCCCGCTGCGAGAATGCCGTAAACTCACCATCTCGTATATTCTCCTCCATTGTCTCGTCCTTAAGCACTTGATCTTCTTCCCAGTTTCAAGCTCCACTTGTGCTTTGAATTCCTTGAAAACTGGAAACACATCTGACTTTTTCTTGATTGGGTACACCCACA